TAAAATATTAAAGTGTTTTACCTTTACATTTGAGTATAGAAATGCGTCTATAGCTAATGTCTTTAATTTCTTCATCCAATGCGATTTTGTGCGTGAAGACTCAATTTCCATTTGTTAGCTAATGTCTTTAATTTCTTCAATTTGTTAGAATTAAACGCAATTTGTTTGTGATAATCAAAACAAGAAGTCAACCATTAGGTCAACAATCATCAGTGCATTTCGTAATCAAATTAGAAAATTCGAACCATGGATTCATACCGTCGCACGTAGATGGATTTTCGACAAAATCCAATATCTATAGCATTATCATAACACGTAGAGCCGGAGAATGATCATTCAAATTATAGTAGTGTCGAAGCACCGTACCCGGAGGTACCATTTCATTCAACTTTTAACGAAAAATCAAATTTGAAAACGAAATAACACTTGCACCTCAACCTATCTTGAATTTTCTTAGATATGAAAGAACAAATGTGTAGAAAGCCTTTCTTCTTCTCATCCTTATTATTCCCTCGACTTAAATTGACATAAAATATATTTTTTTGAGAGAAAATATGATGAAATTCGGATTTAAGGAAGGATGTAGTGAAAAAGTGACCTTTCACTTCTTGTAACCTTTCTTTTTAATGAAAAATTAAACAGGGGGAGTTGTATTATCATAAAGTTTGTTAAATTGGATCTTTAACTAAGAATTTGAAGAGTTTTTAAGCCTAAAAAAAATTCATAAAAAAGTTTTATGAAAACATTTACATGGTGATTCAAACCTGAGTTGTCTATATGAAATACCATGTAGATGACCATTGGGGCAATCCAATTATTCATTAAATCTTTGTAATCAAATTTACTTAAACTTAATCTTTTAAATTGTTGGGCTTTTAATTAATTTATGGCTTAGACTTTCAAAATCTTAAATGGTTTGAGCTTCCACAACTCGTTTCTTGAATGGGATAGGCTCGTGATGCTAGATCATCACAACATAATAGCCTAATTTCATTTTATTTCTCGGGCTTCTACATCCCTTATACCTTAAACAAAATTTCGTCCTCGAAATTTACCTTATGGATTGGCAAAGAGTGTCGGATATTTGTCTTTAACTTCTTTTCCTTCTTCCCAAGTAGATTCTTCGACTCCATGATTATCCCATTGCACCTTGACCAGTTGAATCTCCTTGTTTCGTAATTTATGTACCCTTCGATCTAGTATTCTAATCGGTTATTTCTCATAAGATAAATCTTTACGTACATCTAGGGATTGATAATTGACAACGTGATTAGGATCATGCATATACTTCTTGATCATCGATATGTGAAATACATTGTGAACTGCTGATAGTTCGGGCGGCAAAGCTAATCGATAAGCTACACTTCCGACCCTATCAAGTATTTCAAAAGGTCCAATATAACGATGTCGTAGCTTGCCTTTCTTGCCAAACCTAAGTATACCCTTTACTAGTGCACTTTTAAAAAGACTTTATCTCCAACTTGAAACTCCAAGTCCTTTCGTCTGATATCTGCATAGCTCTTTTATCTGTCTTGCACAGCCTTTATCCTGGTGCGGATCTTATCAATGGCTTCGACTGTCCTTAATGATCTCTGGTCCCAAAAATCTCTTTTTTCCGACTTCATCCTAATGAACAGGTAATCTACATTTTCTACCATAGAGAGCTTCATACGGTGCCAATAGTTGCTTGGAAACTATTATTATATGCAACTTCCACCAAAGGTAAATACGATTCCCAATTGCCTCCCAGATCCAAAACACATGCTCTTAACATATCTTCCAAAGTCTAAATGGTTCTTTCAGATTGACCATCGGATTGAGGGTGATATGCCGTAATGAAATTCAATTTCGTTCCCATAGCCACTTGCAAGCTCTTCCAAAACTTAGATGTAAATCTCGGATCTCTGTCAGACACAATGGATACGGGGGTACCATGCAATCTTATGATCTCTTTAATGTACAACCGTGCCAATTGATCTAGACTGAATGTCATTTTCACCGGAAGAAAATGAGCGAACTTCGTTTGACGGTCCACTATTGCCCATATAGCATTGTGCCCTCCTACTGATCTCAGAAATCCTATCACAAAGTCCATTGCGATATTCTCCCACTTCCATTCTGTATGTCCAATGGATTTAAGAACCCTGCCGGTCTTTGAGTTCTGCTTTAGCTTGTTGACACACAATGCATTTTGCCACAAATAGACCTATAGTTCTTTTTTTATTCCTCCACCAAGATGTATCTCGAAGGTCTCGATACATTTTCGTACCGCTAGGATGTGCAGTGTATGGAGTGATATGAGCTTTCTCCAATATCTCCTTTCTCAAAACTTCATCCTTAGGTACACAAATCTTTCCTTTAAACATCAGAGCCCAATCCGAAGCTATTCTAAAGTCCTTCATCTTATTAGTACCAATCTCGTTCTTGATCTTTTGCAAGAATGGGTACTTACCTTATGCCTCAATGATCCGATCTCTAAGAGTAGGTCGAACCACCAAAGTTGCTAAATGGGTGGTGACTTGCTCTGGTGGGGCAACCATTTCGATTCGTAAATTCTCCAAGTCCTTGATCAACTCCAACTGAGTAGTAGGTAATAACGCCAATCGTCCCACTGACTTTCTACTTAGTGCATCGACAACAACATTAGCCTTACTAGGACGGTAATGGATAATTAAATCATAATCATTTACAAGTTCCAACCATCGTCTCTGTCTCATACTCAATTCCTTCTGTGTGAAGGAATATTTGAGACTTTTATGATCCGTGTAAATGTCGCACTTCCCTCCATAAAAGTAATGGCCCCATATCTTTAAAGCATGCACTACTGCAACAAGTTCTAGATCATGCGTCGGGTAGTTCAGTTCATGTTGCTTCAATTGCCTTGATGCATAGGCAATCACTTTTTCGTGCTACATCAGTACACATCCTAAACCTTGTTTGGATGATCACTATATATTACAAATCCTTTCGAACCTTCAGGTATAGCTAACACGGGTGTTGAAATCAATCGTCATTTTAGCTCCTGAAAGCTCTGTGCACACTTATTTGTCCATTGAAACTTTATTCCTTTCCTTTTCAATTGTGTCATTGGTCCGGGTATTTTGGTAAATCCTTCTATAAATCTCTGATAGTACCCAGTCAATCCCAGAAAACTTCGAACTTCACCCACGTTAGTTGGTGTATTCCAATTCGTTACTGCTTCCACTTTTACTGGATCCACCTCAATTCCTTGGGCAGTAACTACGTGACCAAGGAATCCAACTTGTTCAAGCCAAATTTCACACTTTTTAAATTTAGCGCATAACCTTTCCTTACGCAGTGTTTCTAATGCCATTCTAAGATGCTCTTCATGTTGATCTTTACTCTTGGAGTATATCAAGATGTCATCACTGAAGACTATGATAAATTGATCCAAATACTGATGAAATACATGATTAATTAAATCCATGAACACTGTCGGAGAATATGTCAACCTGAACGGCATAATTGGGAACTCGTAATGTCCATAAAGAGTTCGAAAAGTTGTCTTTGGTATATCACTTGCCTTAACCTTCAACTGATGGTATCCAGACCATAAGTCGATCTTGGAAAATACCTTAGCCCCTTTCAATTGGTCAAATAAATCCTCGATTCTCGGGAGAGGATATTTATTCTTGATAATCAAACGGTTCAACTTCCGATAGTCAATACGCATCCTCATACTTCCATATTTCTTCTTTACGAACAATACTGGTGCGCCCCAAGGAGACACACTTGGTCGAATAAAGCCACAATCCAACAGTTCTTGTAATTGAAATTTTAACTCCCGAAGTTCCTTTGGAGCCATTCTGTATGGAGCTTTAGATACTAGAGCCGCTCCGAGAACCAGATCTTTTGTGAACTCTACCTGTCTATTTGGAGGAGTACTAGGTAGTTCTTCTGAAAACACATCTATAAACTCTCGTACCACTAGTACGTCCTCATTCTTTATTGTCGTCTATTTTTCTCCTAAGATGTTAACTAGAAACCCTTGGTACGTTTCTTTTCTCAGTTTGCAAGGCCGATACTAGTTGGAGATGGGGTTTGGTCTTTATTCCGAGGAAAGAGAATTGCTCTTCTCCTGGTTTCTGAAAAGACACTTCCCTCTCTTTACAACGAATGGTTGCATAATTACATCCCAACCAATCCATGCCCAAAATCACATCAAAGTCTTTCATCTCTATCAGATACAAATTAGCTTCTAATGTTTTTCCTTCGATTTCAAGATTTACCGACCTGGCTAACTGATCTGTATTTAATGTTCTACCTGAGGGGACGCTAACTTCTAGTGTACTTTCTGACTTCTCACAAGTAATACTAGATTTAGTAATGAAAGACGTTGATACAAAAGAGTGAGTAGCTCCCGAATCAAACAGTACATAAGCAGGTGTACTGAATATCAGTAAAATACCTGTTATTACGTTTGAGTTCTCCTCTGCATCCTTCTGAGTTAGTGTAAAGACTCGTGCTTTTCCCTTTTTGTTCTGATCACTGTCATCATCCTTCTTTTGAGTGAACATAGGACAATCCTTAGCAATATGTCCTGGCTTACCGCACCGAAAATAGACATTCTTCCCATACAAGCATTCACCACGATGAGGCTTACCACACTTTAGACAAGGAGCAACTGTAGCTACTATGGCCTTGCTGGCACTAGATCCGATGTTAGCCTTCTTATTTTGCCATTTGCCCTTTCCATTGTCTTGACCATTCCACTTCATCTTTCCAATACGCCCTCTATCTTGTAGGTTGTACAATTGATGGTGTTGCTCCGCATTAGCCTTCTGATACCAAATAGCGTGAGCTCGTTCCAACATCTCACGATATGATGTGAAATGATGTGACATAAGGATCATGCTTAGGTCTGGGTTTAACCCTTGCTCGAACCTTCTAGTCTTCTTAATTTTCGTGTCAACCAGGTGTGGAGTATATCTTGAGAGTTGATCAAACTTTCATTCGGGATCAGTCAAGGACATATTACCCTATTTGAGCTGAAGGAATTCACTTTCCTTGAAATCTCTTAGAGACTGAGGAAAATTCTTGTCCATTACTTCCTCTTTAAATTGTTCCCATGTTAATGCCAATTGCTGCTCCGGGATTCTAGTTTGAGACATTGAATCCCACCAGTAACTTTCATCACCAATAAACATAAACTCTGCACACTGAACCTTTTGGGCGTCGGTGCAGTTTATGAGTCGAAAAATTCGTTCTAACTTACGAAGCCATCCTTCAATTACTCGTGGACCAGGTGCTCCATCGAAGGTAGGGGGCTTATGCCTTTGAAATAACTCAACCACCAAGGCATGAGTCGGGAGAGTAATAGGAGCTGGTGGTGTTTTCTGATTCAGCCTGCCAAGATCTTGAACTGCTTGTAGGAGATCCCTTATCAAATTGTTCTGGTTTGCACGAGACATTTCCTTAGAAATAAAATATAATATCTCACATTAACTTCTTCCAAAATCAGGATTAAAATAGGGAAATATTTTCAGCTCAAACCAGAATTGATTTTTTTTTTGTATTATTAAAAATACTCATTGAAATCAGGATATACAATAATTCGACGACCTTTAGTTCCATAACATTAAAGAAAAGATAACATAAGGAAAAGGAAAAAGCACGAGTCTTTACACTGACTCAGAAGGATTCAGAGGAAAACTCAAACGTAATAACCGGTATTTTACTGGTATTCAATACACCTGCTTATGTATTGTTTGATTCGGGAGCTACTCACTCTTTTGTATCAACGTCTTTCATTGCTAAATCTAGTATTACTTGTGAGAAGTCAGAAAGTACATTAGAAGTTAGCGTCCCCTCAGGTAGAACATTAAATACAAATCAGTAAGCTAGGTCGGTAAATCTTAAAATCGAAGGAAAGACATTAGAAGCTAATTTGTATCTAATAGAGATGAAAGACTTCGAAGTGATTTTAGTCATGGATTGGTTGTGATGTAATTATGCAACGATTCATTGTAGAGAGAGGAAAGTGTCTTTTTAGAAACCAGGAGAAGAGCAATTCTCTTTCCTCGGAATAAAGACCAAACCCCATCTCCAACTAGTATCGGCCTTGCAAGCTGAGAAAATGATGAGAAAAGAAATGTACCAAAGGTTTCTAGTTAACATCTCAGGAGAAAAACAGACGACAATAAAGATTGAGGACGTACCAGTGGTTCGAGAGTTTATAGATGTGTTTCTAGAAGACCTACCTGGTTTTCCACCAGATAGACAGGTGGAGTTTACAATAGATCTGGTTCCCAGAACGGCACCGGTATCTAAAGCTCCATACAAAATGGCTCCAAAGGAACTTCGGGAGTTAAAATATCAATTACAAGAACTGTTGGATTGTCGCTTTATTCGACCAAGTGTGTCTCCTTGGGGCGCACCAGTATTGTTCGTAAAGAAGAAATATGGAAGTATGAGGATGCGTATTGACTATCGGGAGTTGAACCGTTTGATTATCAAGAATAAATATCCTCTCCTGAGAATCGAGGATTTATTTGAACAATTGAAAGGGGTTAAGGTATTTTCCAAGATCGACTTACGATCTGGATACCATCAGTTGAAGGTTAAGGCAAGTGACAAATCCAAGACAGCTTTTCAAACTCGTTATGGATATTACGAGTTCACAGTTATGCCGTTTGGGTTGACGAATGATCTGGCAGTGTTCAGGAATTTAATGAATCGTGTATTTCATCAGTATTTGGATAAATTTATCATAGTCTTCATTGATGACATCTTGATATACTCCAAGAGTAAAGATCAACATGAAGAGAATCTTAGAATGACGTTAGAAACACTGCGTAAGGAAAGTTTATATGCCAAATTTAAAAAGTATGAAATTTGACTTGAACAAGTTGGATTCCTCGGTCACATAGTTACTGCCCAAGGAATTGACGTGGATCTAGTAAAAGTGGAAGCAGTAACTAATTGGAATACACCAACTAACGTGGGTGAAGTTCGAAGTTTTCTGGGATTGGCCGTGTACTATTGGAGATTTATAGAAGGATTTTCCAAAATAGCCAGACCAACGACACAATTGAAAAGGAAAGGAGTAAAGTTTCAATGGACAGATAAGTGTACGCAGAGCTTTCAGAAGCTAAAATGACGTTTGATTTCAGCACCCGTGTTAGCTATACCCGAAGTTTCGGAAAGATTTGTTATATATAGTGATGCATCCAAACAAGGTTTAGGATGTGTACTGATGCATCACGGAAAAGTGATTGTGTAACACCCCGACCCCTAGTGGACCGAAACGCTACTTACTTTACTTAGCTTAACCGGTAGTTTAGTAACAAGTGTATACGTTTTAGCGGAAGCTTACATTTTCGGATAATAATTTAAATAACAATACTTCAAATACTTTAAACAAAAATACTGAATCATTTTTCAAAACAACAAAGTGTAATTTATTTGAAGAAAACATAACTTGTTCTCGCATTTTGCGTTATTCAAAACTTTAAAGAAATAACATTGGAAAACATTTCATAAAAATAAATCCAAATCACTTATTCACCGGATTTCCATGAGCTCGTTGCATCACTCCATCTTCTCCTCCATCCATGCCCGAGGTAGAATTCCTTCAATCTGTAGAGATGGGATTAAACCCGTGAGTTCAAAAAATTCAATAGGTGTCATAGGTGCATTCGTGATCAAGCTATACATTTCAAAACATTAACTTTATAACTTTTCATACATGCCGTACCCGGAGGCACCATTTGACATGAAGGGGTATGCCGTACTCGAGGGCACCATTTAACATACGAACATTTCTTCAACATAGAGGGGTATGCTGTACCGGAATGCCATTTGACACACAACCATTAACATAGAGGGATATGCCGTATCGGAGTACCATTTGACATACAAACATTAACATGAATCGAAACTTATAACTTAACACGATTAAACACATTGCACCTCTACCTATCTTGATTGATGCTTTTGAAACTTTGAAAAATTGGATTGAAAACTTCGATGAAACTTGGACGTTGAAAGAAATGAACTCCTTGGATGTTTGAAAACCGTTGAGAATTGATACTTGAAAACACTTCTTAAACTTTTAAGAAAAATAGTTTTCCTCTCTCTCTTTTTCTCTCTTGGAAACTCTTTTTTTAGTATGTAAAAGCTCTTGCTTTTGGTGTGAGAAAAAATGAGTGAAATGAGGTCTCTATTTATAGGTAAATATCCCATAACTTAAAGCAAATGAAGGGTCAAATTTCATTTAAGAGAGAAAACATGCCTGTCAATTAAGTTTGAGGTTAAATGCTTCAATTTCGTGGGGTTTTTATTGCCAAAAACGTGGGTGGCCCTTTGAGAAAATAATTGATGAAAATAAATATTTAAATTCTAGAGAAAAACGAGAATTTTCATTTTAGGCAGTTTCGGTCGACCGGTTGTAGTCCGGTTGACACTGCACAACCTTTAGTATTTCTATCATAACTTCTTCTCTCGATATCTGATTGAGGTAATTCAAAGTGTGTTGCAAAGCTAACTCAAAGAGCTACAAATCTTATGTAGATATCATTTTCCAAATAGAATGTTTCCTATGTCAAAAATGGGTCTCAAATGAGAGTAAAAATTTGAAGTATACTTTAGTCATCCAATATTCATGTCTTAGTGCCACTAAGGTGTATAGAATTATTTGGGGTTCTACAGATTGTCTATGCATCAGGGCAATTGAAGCAACATGAACTGAACTACCCGACGCATGATCTAGAACTTGCTATAGTAGTGCATGCTTTAAAGATATGGCGTCATTACTTATATGGAAGGAAGTGCGATATTTACACGGATCATAAAACTCTAAAATATTTCTTCACATAGAAGGAATTGAATATGAGACAGAGACGATGGTTAGAACTTGTAAATGATTATAATTGTACTATCCATTACCATCCTGGTAAGGCTAATGTTGCTGCCGATGCGCTAAGTAGAAAGTTACTGGAACGATTGGCGTCATTACCTACTACTCAGTTGGAGTTGATCAAGGACTTGGAGAATTTACGAATCGAAATGATTGCCATACCAGAACAAGTCACCACCCATTTTGTAACTTTGGTGGTTCGACCTACTCTTAGAGATCGGATCATTGAGGCACAAGGTAAGGACCCATTGTTGCAAAAGATCAAGAATGAGATTGGTACTGATAAGAGAAAGGACTTTAGAATAGAGAGAAAGGACTTTAGAATAGCTTCGGATAGCGGTCTGATGTTTAAAGGAAGGATTTTTGCACCTAAGGATGAAGTTTTGAGGAAGGAGATATTAGAGGAGGCTCATATCACTCCATACACTGCACATCTCGGTGGTATGAAAATGTATCAAGACATTCGAGATACATTTTGGTAGAGGAATATGAAAAGAAGTATAGGTCTATTTGTGACAAAATGCATTGTGTGTCAACAAGTTAAAGTAGAACATCAAAGACTAGGAGGGTTGTTAAATCCATTGGACATACCAGAATGGAAGTGAGAGAATATCGCAATGGACTTTGTGGTAGGATTTTCGAGATCAACATGAAAGCACAATGCTACATGGATAATAGTGGACCGTCTAACGAAGTCCGTTCATTTTCATCCGGTGAAAATGACATTCAGTCTAGATCAGTTGGTACGGTTGTACATTAAAGAGATCGTAAGATTGCATGGTACTCCCGTATCCATTGTGTCTGACAGAGATCTGAGATTTACATCTAAGTTTTGGAAGAGCTTGCAAGTGGCTATGGGAACGAAATTGAATTTCAGTACGGCATATCACCCTCAATCCGATGGTCAATTTGAAAGAACCGTTCAGACTTTGGAAGATATGTTAAGAACCTGTGTTTTGGATCTAGGAGGCAATTGTGAATCGTATTTACCTTTGGTGGAATTTACATATAATAATAGTTTCCAAGCAACTATTGAAATGACACCGTATGAAACTCTCTATGGTAGAAGATGTAGATTACCTATTCATTGGGATGAAGTCGGAGAAAAGAGAGTTTTGGGACCAGAGATCATTGAAAGGACAGTCGAAGCCATTGATAAGATCCGCACTAGGATAAAGGCAGCGCAAGACAGACAAAAGAGTTATGCAGATATCAGATAAAAGGACTTGGAGTTTCAAGTTGGAGATAAAGTCTTTTTAAAAGTGGCACCAATAAAGGGTATACTTAGGTTTGGCAAGAAAGGCAAGCTACGACCTCGTTATATCAGACCTTTGAAATACTTGATAGGGTCGGAAGTGTGGCTTATCGATTAGCTTTGTCGCCCGAACTATCAGAGTTCACGACGTATTTTACATATCGATGATCAAGAAGTATATGCATGATCCTAATCACGTGGTCAATTATCAATCCCTAGATGTACGTAAAGATTTATCTTATGAGGAATTATCGATTAGAATGCTGGATCGAATGGTACATAAATTACGGAACAAGGAG